TAAAATAGAACTCTGTGGATAACTTTCAATAGTTATTCTGACTACCACCATCTAGATTTGACTGTCCCAGCAAGAGGAGAATCATTGCAGTTCTGTTCCTGCAGCATCAGTCCAGATAGCCTATCCAGAAGGATATCATACCCACTGAGATCACATATCACAGAGGGGTCCAAAAGAATCAACAGAGTTATAGTCTTTTTCTCTCCTTCTATAACTCTCTCCTTCCAAACCAGGGCCAAACTCTGCTTGACTGCCTCCTTTCAAAAAGGAGTTTGAATCCTCATGGTCTCTCTCCTTCCAAACCAGGGCCAAACTCAGCTTGACTGCCTCCTCTCAAAAAGGAGTTTGAATCCTCATGGTTATAGTGAGAACAAGGTTCTGATTTCTTTTAAAACAACATTTTCAGCTCGGCTATTTACAGCAAATATAGCTTGGTAGAATCAAAGGGTCTATAAATGTTCTCATAAACACTAGTCCAATGTTGTTATAAAAATCCCAGGAGTGTTCTGGCTTTGTTTTTGAAGACTAGTTCAAACCAGTTGTGAAGTCCTTTTCCACCCCCACTCACCCCCATCCTTATAAATGATTCAGTGGGTTGCAAAAGCACTGGACCGCCTGTTTTATAGTTCGTCAGTGAAAATGTGTCAAGTGTTAGAAACAAGCTGGCACGATAAATGATGATATCTCTCTCTCTCTCTCCAACACAATGCTATTTTAAAATTTCCTCCTTCTCTCAAGATGTCAGTGTAAACATTTGGATAGTTGGTTTGGTTATAGAATCAGAGAGGGTAGGCTGGGAAGATGCGAGGGGAGGTTGCTGGTTCTTTACATTTTTTAGGACAGTCATTTGTCTCCATGCTCGGAAGGGTTGTACTGTGTAATCACAAGGGCTCCTCTGACTCTTCATTCTGTATTCAGCTGAAAGTGGTGATGAGCTATGGGATTAGAAAGAGCCTACCTTCAGATAAACCTGATACAGCTGGATTTCCAGCAATAAGAATGGAAAGGTATTTGGGAGAAGACACCCCAAATACACAAACACACTTCACAAGAATTGTTTAATCTTGGATGTGAGGGAGACAAACCTGTGTCTGAATCTTGCTGAAGATGGTATAATGTAAAAATTATGCTTGTAGAACTGTGCAGGGCATGACGCTGAGACAATCTGCATGCATCACACAATTTAGTTGCGCAATTCATGGTATGGCTGTTGTACAGGATGCCTAAAGAAGTCTGTTGTGGGTGTCACTTCCACCTTGTGCAGTTTTCCCTACCATTTGCATAACTTTGCGTTAACACCGCATGATTTCAGCCAATTTCAGTCTGATGCCTTTTGAGTCTTGGAGCACTTAGAAAGCAAGGAGTATGTTAGTTGGTCCTTTTAAAAGAAAACCAGTCACATAGGTAAGGGCACACACAGTAAATGCAATGTTTTCCATCTTCCGGAGAACACAGGAAACATTGGATGCAGAATTTCTGTGAGAAGTTTTGAAATCCTGCCAATTCAAGGGGTTAGTTTTGATAGCCCTTTGGATTTCTCTTCATTCTACAACTTTATGATTCATAGCACTATCATGTACAGATTCACTCAGAACAGTAATCAATTCTACTGAGTTTGAAAAGGTTTACTCCATTTAACATAAGTGCCACACTTATTCTTTTCATAAATATATTAAAAAGAAGGATAATGATAACTGGTTAAGACAAATAGCTGAGAGCATTTATTAAATGTGTACCCCATTTTTGCCCCCCAAAACATAGGGATAAGGTCTTTCACAGCTTACATTTGTAGACTCCCCACAGGCATCTAATTAGCCACTGTAAGAAAAAAAATATAGGACTCCGCAGGCCTTTCATTGCCAAGTATAGCTTTTGTGGTGTTCTGGATCCAGTATACTTTCATTACTACAATAGGAATTCTCCTTCTGTCCTCCTTCCCCCAACTCCCTCAAAATCTGCTCTGGAGAGTTGCCTAGCCATCTTGAGTAGATTTTGAGAGCATACCAAGGTTGGGGGGGGGGAGATTCCTTTGGCATTTCTGCTGATAGAATTATTACTATTGCATCCTAACGTGTGTTCTTTTGTGTTTAGCCACACACACACACTGCTTAAGATTTTCATTAGCATAATTGCTGACTTGATATAATTTTTCAATTTTATATATGCATAAGAATAATTGTCACCTCTGCTACCCCTTTAAACTCTTAACCTTTTATGTGCTAGGATTGCACTTTGTAAATCTAAACAGATGGGAATGGGGGGGGTCTGAAAACCACCTTCTTAGTTTGATCTTAGTTTATTCTAAACTATCATAGATAAAGCAAACCACCATTCCATGTGTTGGAATGTGATGAGAAACTGAAGCAGAAGTTGCAGATCTCCTTACACATATGGGGGTGGGGGAGAAGAACACATGACCCTGGTGTCATGCAGATGTATTTTCGTGTCCTCTTCACAAGGCATAAATCTTTCATCTTCTTACTGAACAGATGATTTATGTGATTCATTACTCTGTGCAAATGCAAATAAACACTTTTGCTAATAATATTATACTGTCAGTGTGTTTTTCAAATCGTCTCCCATGTTCCTAGGGAAACATTTATCCTTTAAATGTAAAACAGTCATAAGATTCTCTAATACAGTATTAGCTTTGGGCACCTCAGCTTGCTTTCTTTTCTACCGAGGCTCATTTTTACATTATTAGATTTTTTTCATGTATCGTTTATTTCATGTGGATCCTTATGGTGTAGGCAGAGAGCTTTAGAAAACTGCTAAGTGCTATATCTGTGTGTTGTACTAAAAGCTATGACCAAATCCTGAGAACTATATTTAAAGGAATTAAAGATTACGTGGCATTCACTTTGATTACAAATCTATATATTTGCCTTTATGTAACAATTTTTTTTTTCTTAGCGGTAATATTTATAACCCTTTACGAGTATTGTGTGGAGGATTCCAGACAAGACATAGTAACTGATAGAAATGTAACTTATGGTTTCAAAAAATGGAGGCATTTGCAAATACCATCCCCATGTCTAAAAGTTGTCATTGCAGATTTAGGCAATGGAGTCCTTCCACTGGATCCCACCGCTTCCTAAAGAATCAATTATCTGTTTCTGTCCCGCAGCCTCCCATGCACCCTAAAATTCTCCAAAGGGATAAGTAACCCTCTGGAACAGGGGTTTGGCACCATAGAGAGCAGAAGCAGGGGATGAAAGTTAATTCAACTTGTGCTGGGTGGTTGAAGGATTCTGGGTATTGTAACATTTCCATGATCTGTTTGGACTATAGTGTGTAAAACTGGAGGTGAGGGTATCCAAACCTCAAGGCTCAGTAATGTAGTCTGCAGCAGAGTAAGACATGGGCTAGTTTAAGACCTTATAGTATATAGCCCTCTCTCTGAATCAGAACCTCATGAAGCCACTACCTTCATCCCTATCCCCAGACCAGGTTTCTTGCTCTGTACTCATGCCTTCCCTAGCAAAGGCAATGCACACAGCAAAAATTTTAATCTAGTAGCAATAGAACACAAGGCTCCAGGATCGTCTCTTTAAAGATCTCCTCCAGAATGGAGGCAACAGGACACGCTGGAAGAGGTCATTTTGGCTACTAACTTTGTTGGAGGAAGTTTTCATTTTTAAAGTAGTCTGAGGTCCTGTTGCTTCAGTCCAACCTGAACTACTACTGTACATTAGTAGTTCCCAGCCTTGGATAACCCAGGTGTTCTTGCACCGCAATTCCCAGAAGCTTTCACTACCAGGTATGCTGGCCAGGGTTTCTGAGAGTTGCAGTCTAAGAAGACCTGGGTTACCTAAGATTAGAAACCACTGTACTCACTGCAGTGTCTCATCTGGCTGCTCTCATTTCCTTAACTTTTTAAGGTTGCTCTTCCTCACTACTCCGGTTTTCATTGCCTTGTGAGTTTTTACTTGTCATCAAGACCTGACAGCTTCTTCACATAAACAACTCCATCCTTATGGCATACTGGTATGCTGTCAAGAAATATTAATTTGAGGTTTTAACATTCATGTGCTTTAACAGCTTTCTTTAAATGGGTCATCAGTTGCCACCAGAAATGTTATATTTATTTTACTAAGTGCAAGCTGTATCTGTGTGTATTTCAGTCCACTAGCAGACAAAATGCCATTTTATGTTTCACTGACTTTATTGTCAGCTGCATCTTATAAACTGTCATCTTCTGATGCTGTAAATGATGTTTAGTAAAGCAACTCAAAATTGAGTTAATGTAATGTGTGGAACAATCCCCTGTAATACTTTGCATAGCATGACCCAGGAAGCCATGCCAGACATTAACACTTTGGTATTCTTGGAATAGTTCTGGATTATTTTTTAAAAATTCTCATTTGTTACAGCCTTACCACCTTGGTGTAAGCAAATGTATAAACTTGCCACAACATGCTCACTGTTAGCAGAGAATAGCATCAACATGATCATAAAAGCTAACAAAGGCCTTAAATCAGTTTTATCTTTTCAAAACTATCTCTGAAGTGAATGACCTTCAAGACTCTCTAATGTGAAATGAGTATATCATGAGAAAACATTCAAAAGTATCTGTTTTATTTGTAAAAATTTTAATGTTGCATTTAATCTTCCTTCCTTCCTTCCTTCCTTCCTTCCTTCCTTCCTTGGCTTTAATAGGAGCAGGATATAAATTGAAGAAATAAATAAAATAATTAAATATTTAAATGATTTCTTTGGCATCTTGTTTTATTTGAAAATCGCAAACTTGTGCAGAAACATATGCACAGCTAACACAGACTGGAAATATAATCATCTTCCCATTACTAGTCAATACCTATATGAGGAATAAGGTCAAACTTGAATACAGACAAACATAAAAGGGGTTTTGAGGAGAACATAAAAGTCACCCATGCCTGTTCTAAGTTATCAAGATGTTTTTCTCCAACTAATCTTCTCCCCTGCCACCTTTTTTAAAACCAAAGAATTTACCAAGCAAATGTGTTTCTGTGTTGTTTCAGGCTGCGAGTCCTCTCTTGATCTGACGTTTCAGAAGGCCATGGGTGCAGTGAATAAGATCTTTAAGACCCTCCAAGATGTTGCAAAAACTCGGACAAATATGAAACAGTTTAATTCTGTGCATAACCCGGGAAGTCATACCGAACAGGCAAGTTGCTGTGTGTTTTTTGTATCAGTGTTACTGGATGTTATTATAGTATATTTAAGTGAACATCACAATATATTTTTAGTGCTATGCAACCAGTTCAGCTGAGTCTTAATCAAATCAGACTGATTCAGGTTCAGCTCAGAATGGATTGAAACTGGGTCAGATTGATGACTGATTTGGCAATCTGGATGTCAAGTTTAAAAAAAAGAAAGCCAAACAATGTGTCTTCAAAATATTACCCAACAGCAGGATGTAAATAAAAGGACAGGCATGAGTGAGGTGAAGTTGCAGACCTAGATTTTGTTCATTGACGATACTCGCTTCCAATCTGAGACAAGAATATCACCTTGGGAGGGAAGGAGAAGTTACCTTCTCTTCTTCTCTTTTGTTAATTTCCTATTAGTAGGAACGTTTATGAAAGGTCTTTGTTGGAGGCTGGTGGCAATTTTGTGTTTCCTATAGTTTATGCTTCTTCATTTCATCCTCCTAATCCTAGTCTCCTTCTTCCTTATGTTTGTTGTTTATTTGAATAAGTGTGTGTGAGAGTTGGTCTCAGTGTCGTTGCCTTAATAGCTTTACCAGGCAGTAGTTCTTCACTTACACCTTACCACCCATCACCTCCTGGTCCTATTATTTGTAGGTTAGGTTTTCAGTTTGTATCATTTTGAGCTGTATGTTTGTTCAGTCTATACTTTTGCTCATGTGTGAGTGTGAGTGTGTGTTATTTCTCAAGCAACCATACGCATATATGCAAAGACTACCATAATGCAGAAAAGCAGCATGTGTTTTAGCAGACTTTAATCATATTAAAGCGATGTGCAAAGGTCATTAGTCCTGAAAAAGCTGGACATCTTTGTCTCACAGTCTGGCATAGATAATTCCCTCTGAAGGGGCTGCCATAGGTCTAGTTTGATACAAACATTATGGTTTCCCAGTGCAAGTCATGGGAGCCGTGAAGTGTCCAGTTTCTGAATGGTTTCAAGAATGAAATAGGTAGGATTAGTTTCAAATTTTGTTGTTTTGTACATCCAGTTTTCAGGATCTGTGAGGTATTTAAGGAAGGCATTACCAGTGTCAGATCGCAATGAATTTCTATGGCTGAGTGGGAATCTGAACTTAGGCTACCTGAGTTTAAACTAGGACCCTAGAATCAGGGTCCTATTCAGATTATCAAATTGGAACTCAAACTGAATGGCTGTGCATAGCCCTACTTTTCTCAGTGTGCTAATGCAAATGTATTCTGTTCCTCTGTATTTTTGTGCTTAACAGAGCAAGCCTTGCTTCCTCATGCCTTTAAATATTCTTTAGAGTGATAGTTTAGTGTGAAGTGTGTTCAGTGACAACGGGTTTTGTAAGATTGTCATCCATCTTGCATTGCTGGTAGTCAATGGGCTGAAAAGCTATTTGGAAGCCAATGATGCTATGCTGAAAAAAGCCAAATAAGTGGCCTAATTCATCAGAAAAGCTGCTGAAGCTTATGTAGTGAAACACTGAGCCACCAATAGTAGCAAAACAGATGTTGCTGGTAAGTCAGCTTTGGTGAAGTTACTAGTTACTTTGTATCCAGGATTGCTACCAGTGAGCATGGATCTTGCTTCTGTTATCACTTAATAAGAATTAACTTTTTTAAATTTAAAGTTAATTTTTTTCTGATTCTTTTAAAAACCACCAATGCTAGCAGCAGTAAGGACAGGGGGACAGAAGGTCATTTATGTAACACACCGTGTTTGGAGTCTTCTCCTGCAGAAAGAATGTGCGGCTCACATCTGTTGCATATTTCCTGGCTCACTAAATATGTTACCGTATGATTTGGGTGGCACATCTACATCTTTTAATAACCACATAGAAGAAAAGTGTATGTATTTAACATTGTGAACTGTGTGATATGAAAAAGTGTATTTGATGGGTATAATTGCATTCAAAATCATTTGCCCCAAGTTGTTGAGTTTAAGTGCTTGGTTTCTCATTTGCTTTTCTTTTTTCTACTGAAGGTAAGTGGCACTTTCATTTATCTTTTCCACAGCATGACTCCTGCATCTGTTTTCTAAGAAACATAGTGAGTGACATTCCTGGAATAGCAAAGTACAGAAGCATTACCTACCACAAATGGAACACATTAATTATTTTTTATAGATTGGTAACATTTGCTCCTGAAATTATTGCTATTCATTCTTACTGCTTTGGAGCTACACTGATTGTATAAGCAGAAAAAGAACTAGCAACTAAATAAAAAGCATCCCTTAAGTTTTGTGCCTTGTTTGTTTGAATTACATTGTGGTCAAATCCTGCAATACTGGCATATCCATATATTAATAAAAGACTTGCTGACTCCCTAGGACTACCACAAAACCCATGTTATTGTGCTGGCTTTTCAAACAATGTGCTTTATGACATCTTACATACATATAGCGATACAGATATTCATTTATTTGTAATTTTTCTGTACTGATGTTTTGGTCTATAGCCTTCCAAAGCTGTTTTTTTTCCGGAGTGTGTATACAGTGTAATCTCTTAAACAGTGCTGTCTCAGTACGGGAAAAGACCATCACTGCAGAGAAGCAATTTAAAAGTCATATAGAAACCCATCAGTCTAACTAAACGTTCCCCCTTTCTAGTCACATTTATTATCTTAAGCCTTTGGGAATATCTATGTAGATACCTTCTTGTTTGCTGCAAGTCAACTTCTGGGTTGCAAGCAACCTACAGGGCTTATTGCTTGGAGGGCGAGAGAAAGCCTGGCTGGGTTGGACTGGCGAAAGACTGTCTTTTCAGACTTCCTTCCCAACCGATATAAACAGTCCTCTCTAAGTTATTTAATTTTTTTCATACTTACCACAATTCAGACTTCCTTCCCAACCGATATAAACAATCATCTCTAAGTTATTTTATTTTTTTCATACTTACCACAAGGATCACAAATATACCCCATTCACTGAACTATATTAAATATATATATATAAATGCAATCAATTCAATCAATATAATATAGTTCAGTGAATGGGTATATTTGCGATCCTTGTGGTAAGTATGAAAAAATAAAATAACGTGGTAAGTATGTATATGTAAGTATATTTATATACAGTATATATAAAAATTTCAATCACTTACTTCCATGTGTTATCTTTTCTGCAGGCGTCTTACAAGCCATTACTGAAGCGAGTGGTCGAGGAGATATATAATCCTGATCGTCCTGACCTTGTTGATATTGAACATATGTCTTCTGGTCTCACAGACCTTCTGAAGACAGGATTCAGCATGTTTATGAAGGTAAAGTCGCTGTCCAAATACTCATTGTCACACTGTAGCAAATTACGAAGTTCAGAAATTTTGACAAAAAGAAACCATTTTATTTTTCCTTGGATATTTTTATTTCACAGCTAAAATTCTGCATCCTCAGCAGGATTATTTAGGAACATATATAGATTAGGCATCCTTCAGTCTTGAGAGACTATAGTAACGTGCTCTGAATGGAGGACTTGGAACAGCGTCTAGAGTGTGACTGAGAAGGCTGATTCAAGAGTGACACAATCCCTTCCACACTGAAGACAAATACAGTCTCTCCGCTGTCCAGCTCCCCAATTTTGCTGGTTTTGGGACTGCCTCTTTGCCTCGGCCTGCCAAACAAGTGTCTCTTCAAAACAGGAAAGGCCACGATGCACCGCCTGCCTCCAGGCTGAACACTCAGACGTCAAGGTTTCCCATCTGTTGAGGTCCATTCCTAAGGCCTTCAGATCCCAGTTGCAGATATCCTTGTATCGCAGCTGTGGTCCCCCTCTGGGGCGATTTCCCTGCACTAATTCTCCATATAGGAGATACTTTGGAATTCGACTGTCAGCCATTCTCACGACATATATAACACAGCAACAATATGCTACATGGACACATATGGAGAAATCTGCTGGTATGGCGATGTGCCCATTGTGCTTTGCCATTTCACTGTGGGGTGAGGCAGACAGTGGGGCAGTTTTTTCTTTTCTTTTTCCCACTGAGTATGATAGGAAGGAATTCACTGTGTTGGCCCAAGGATGGTAGAGATGCAACAGTTCCTAACCTGTGTAGGGAAATGGAGGAGCCCATGCCACTGCCTCCTCGATATGTCCTATTTTCCCCTCTTCTGTTGAAGGAATTTCTTTGTGGCAGTGGAGTGAAGGCTGCATTCTGCAAATGGGGTGGGGGCTTACAGGGACTTAACAGTGGTATGACTGGCATACCTCCGCTGGCAGAATGACACACAGCTTCCTGAGGCAACTTAGCCAGTTTACCATTGAGAGTATGATTACTCCCTAATTCATTAAAAGGAGAGTGTTTGGTCACTTGATGTTTCTTAAGTTAAACTGTCAGTTACAGTAACTCACTCACCTACTGAGTAAGTGCTAAGAGTCTGTCTGTTTTGAAGTGTAGAAAGAAGAGCTTATTCTTTTGAATTACAAAGAGAGTAATTGTGTGATTTCTGAAATTACGTCAAAAATTGGGTTGCGCTTTTTGTAAATTTCCTTTTGCTTTTGCATTATAATATTGAAGCCCACATACAATTCCTAAAACCAAACAAGACAACCATTTCGGTTGGGTTATTACATTTAACGGTTGTTTCAAAAGGACATGAGAACTATTAATTAATAATCTCTACATTAACCGAGATATTTACAGCCTTCCACCTCCACTGTGTTTCCAAACTCAATCCATTCAATCCTTCTTTCCTTCAGCCGGTGCTGAAAACATTTAGGCCTGAGGGAAAGTGCCATAGCAGTAAAAGGATTTATACACTTGTCAAGCATAAGACTTGAACTTGTCAGGAAACAAGAAGTGGGAAATTTATCAGTGGGGACTGGTGGACAAAATAAACCTTTTCATTGGTTTTTGTAGTATATTTTTAACAACCTCTGCTAGTGAATATCTGGAACAGTACTCAGATTTTTTAAAAGGTTAAAGTTCTTAAGAGTAATCATAAAAGGTAGTGAATTACGCAGTGAATTACAAATAATAGTGACTGTACTAACTAACATGAGATCTCTCAAAATAGCCTGCCTTTGAAAGAAAATAAAGAGGGAACTAATATATTATACATGCAACAAAAAAAAATCTTCATGTTCCAGCAAATGCATTTCTTTTTTTCGCTCACTCAAGGATTGAGAGGCATCCCTCCTTTTGAACAGGCACCAGGCTATCTTCTCCAGCCTCTCCTGATGACTTTTTGATCCATTCAGAGTGGGTGGAAGGCTTGGGGCTCATAAGTATTTCTTGCTGTCCTCTCTCTCTCTACTCTTTTCTCTTTTCATGCCATAGTAATCCCAGGTAATATAATTATAATTAATTATTTTAATTAGAATGTTAATAAAAGTTTCTGTAGGAATCAGTTCTAGATTGGAGATGCTGGGAGCTCTTCCCCCTTTTGGTGTCAAAAATATTGTAATCCTAACATTGAGGTTATGAGGAGGTGCTTTACAGGTAGCAAAGAGGAGATCATCCTGCATCTCCTTGCCAGATTCTGATTTCAGGAACAAATACCCACCACACAAAGTTGTTACTTCCATATAGGTCTTGTGAAATTGTCTTAATGGGTTAATCTTTGCTGAAAGCACATGCTCTGGGTGATCCTGGTTGCCAAAACTCCAAGAACTTGCAGTGTTGGGATTCATACTTTCAACTCCAGTTCTACAGCCAGGTGCTCCAACCCACTCAGCTATAACAGTTCTCCAGTCCACTGAGCAATACTGGTAATACAACATTTGATAGCATGTTTTTTAAAAATGACTAGACAGCTGGGGTCTAGAAGAGGATGGACAGAGAATTTTGTCTCTTCCTTCCCAATCAGCCAACTACATTTCTTTGCTGGGTGTGGAGAAAGTAAGTCCCCCATTGCTTTCTGGTGGGCACGGAGGAGAAGGACACAGGTGACCGCATATCACACAGAGTTTCTCTGATGGCTGTAGATGAGAGGACACTTCCTTCTAACAGCCCAGCCACTCACCTGTATGGGATTCCTTGTCACTTTGGGCCATCAGGACAGTGTATAAAGTAAAGACTGTACTATATCCTTTGTGATGTCAGCTGGTGACTGGGAAAACAACCCAAAAGCACCAAGTTAACTACGTACTTTGTAGGTGGATATGAACAGAAGTATTACTTATGGTTCTTTTTTGAATTGGTGGTGCCATTTATTTGTTTGTTTGATTTTTATACCACCCATCGGGAGAAATCCACTCTGTGCGGTTTACAATCAAACACAGATAGGATGAAAACAAACAATAAAAATAAAACAAAAAATAGCATGCAAAAATCCAAGATGGGAAAAACTAGTACTAGCTGGTGGGAAGGCCTGCCAAAAGAACCAGATCTTCAATTTACTCTTAAGAGCTCCCGGTGAGGGGGCAAGCGAATCTCCATGGGCAGTGTGTTCCAAAGGCAAGGAGATCATGCCGAGAAGGCCCAATTTTTAGTTTTTTCTTTCTTTCTGGGCCTCTTTCAAGGTTAGGCTTCTCACCTGCCCAGCCTGGCTAGAATGGGTGATACAGGTAGATCTAGGTGGGAGAAGGCGCTCTGCCAGGTATTGAGATCCTAAACCGTTTAGGACTTTATACGTAATTGTAAAAACGTTGAGGTCAATGTGGAAGCAGATAGGTAGCCAGTGTAAGGCAGTCAGAGTGGGAGTTAGTAACCTGGCTGCTGTTTTCTGTACCACTGGAACTTCCTTGTCTTCAGAGTATGAACATTTTTGGAGTAGTTGTATGTTTATTAATTGCAGACTTTTAGGAGAGAAACTGCTTGTTGTGCCAAGCATGTTTTGTCTTTATTGGTATCTTATATAATAGGATTTACTGTTTGTTTATAGCATTTATGCTCTGCTTCTCAGAGCAACTTGTTGTTGTTGTTGTTTAGTCTTTAAGTTGTGTCCGACTCTTCATGATCCCATGGACCAGAGCACGCCAGGCCCTCCTGTCTTCCACTGCCTCCTGGAGTTGGGTCAAATTCATGTTGGTAGTTTCTATGACACTGTCCAACCATCTCGTCCTCTCTCGTCCCCTTCTCTCTTGCCCTCACACTTTCCTAACATCAGGGTCTTTTCCAGGGAGTCTTCTCGTCTCATGAATTGGCCAAGTATTTGCTCTTAAGAGTAAATTGAAGACCTGGTTCTTTTGACCAGATCTGTCATTCCAGTGAGCACTCAGGGTTGATTTCCTTCAAAATGGATAGCTTTGTTCTCCTTGCAGTCTACGAGACTCTCAAGAGTCTTCTTCAGCATCAAAAGCATCAATTCTTTGGCGATCAGCCTTCTTTATGGGCCAGCTCTCACTTCCATACATCACTAATGGAAAAACCATAGCTTTGACCATGCGGACCTTTGTCGGCAAGGTGATGTCTCTGCTTTTTAAGATGCTGTCTAGGTTTGTCATTGCTTTCCTCCCAAGAAGCAGGCGTCTTTTAATTTCATGGCTGTTGTCACCATCTGCAGTGATCATAGAGCCCAAGAAAGTAAAATCTGTCACTGCCTCCATATCTTCCCCTTCTTGTATTTGCCAGGAGGTGATGGGACCAGTGGCCATGATCTTAGTTTTTTGGCTGTTGAGCTTCAGACTATTTTTTGCGCTCTCCTCTTTCATTAAGAGGCAATTTCTCCTCACTTTCTGCCATCAGAGTGGTATCATCTGCATATCTGAGGTTGTTGATATTTCTTCCAGCAATCTTAATTCCGGTTTGGGATTCATCCAGTCCAGCCTTTCACATGATGTATTCTGCATATAAATAAGCAGGGAGACAATATACAGCCTTGTCGTACTCCTTTCCCAATTTTGAACCAATCAGTTGTTCCATATCCAGTTCTAACTGTTGCTTCCTGTCCCACATATAGATTTCTCAGGAGATAGACAAGGTGGTCAGGCACTCCCAGAACAACTTACATATCAGCAAAAACCAAAAGAAAAAATTGTCCTTAGGCTTATGGTCTGAAGACATGACATAAAAGGAAAGGGAAAAAGCTGCCTAGAGTGGTCGTTCAACTAGATAGGCGGGGTATAAATGCAATAAATCAATCAATCAATCAATGAAAAGGAAAGGACAATAGCTCAGTCACAATTCCTTTATGTTAGGGGGTGCCTCAGCCTCATAATATGGTTGGAAGACATTTGAGGCAAAGCTGAGAGGAGCTAGCTTCTCAGGAGGGCTGGTAAGGGCCTAGTTTTCCTATTTCCCCTCCAACATATTTTTAATTAACACTCATAAGCTTTGCAGCGTCTGCACTGAAGTGATAGTCACAAACCTAGTTCCATGTA